CCCCCCCCCCCCCCCCCCCCCCCCCCCCAAGCCATACAATGATACAGGAGTTGCTATGATACACTCAACAGCCTCCTGCTTGGAAATGGCAGCCAATAATTTTAAGGCTGCTTTAAGGAGGCACTCAGGCATTGACGGTTTCCAGCTGCAACATGCAGGTTAGTTATTAGCTGGGCTCTTCATCTCTTGCATTACTGTTGTCGGGAGGAAATCTCCACCAATTCAGCATCCGGTTCTGTGTGGGACTCAGCTCACTCTCCCCTTCCACAGCCTCTCCACCTCTGACTTAACCCAGGCAGGGTATACAAAGTGGAGAAAAAGCTGGGGAGGGGGAGAATATTGGGGTTCTGGATTAATCCTAATTGTGCCACAGAGTAAATGTCCAATTTTGGAGCCCTTTCCAAGGCCAGAAAGCAAAAACTGAAGTCTGCAGGAGAATTCAGGGAAGATTTGAGATCGAACCACCTCAAGGATTAATTTTCAGGGTTGTGTTTCCCTGCTGCAAAGAGAAGGCAACCAAAGAGAAGCTCTTTTAGCTTGTAGCTACATTTGGACCACCAAAGATTTACTTTTCCAATTCCAAATGACCAGATCCAGTCTTCAGGGGCCCCTCTACCTTTACAAATGGCCTTTAACCAGAAAGCCTCGTTAACTTCAGGAATTCTTTCTTTAGGCCAAGGTGAGGATTTGGAATCTGTTGAGACAGGATGCTGTGCAAAGCTTTCCACAAAGTTTCATCCACCCTCAGAGTATTCTGCCGTTACTATTAGCCCTATTAGTTAGAAGATGACTACAGAGCTACTGTTCATCTGTCATTGTGAAAGCCAAACTCTGGTACATTGTCTGTTTTTTGACCATTGTGGCTTTGGGGCTTCTCTAAAACTCAGGTTGAATTGACAACAGGAGCTGGCAGTTTGCAACAATGCAGAAGCTTTAGAATTTCAATTCCCATGTTCCTTTGCCGCTGGTCCTGCTGACTGAGAGTGATGGAGGCCAGGAACCAAAGCGCAGGGGGGAAGGCCGCAAGCTGTTTTCCACACATCAATATTCCTTGACCCAATTAAGACTCTAGATTTCTTTGTTTCTGCTTTGTCTCATCTAACTCCCTGGCTTTCCAGTCACATGCAGTTCGACAACATGTGTAAACTCCAACATTTTGGATATTTGATATTTGCTTGTCAGAAAGTTGCAAAAGGGGATCATGTAACCCTGGGATACTGCAACCGTCATAAATATGAACCAGGCATCCGAATCTTGGTCACATGGCCATGAGGATGCTGCAATAATCATAACTGTGGAAAAAACGGTCATAAAGTCACTTTTTTAAGTGATGTAACTTTGAATGGTCATTAAATGAACTGTTGTAAGTCAAGGACGACCTGTATCCTAGAACATACCTTACTCTCAAGCAAGAGAAGCAGCATGCCTGCCTGTAGCCATCAGCTAATCTACATCTCTAATTTAACATACCTAAAATTGTCTGATTTTGCTGAAATGCATCCCACATAATCCTCCTTCCAAAGGGCTCCCTGAGGTGTAAAAAAATGATAGAATGCTACAAACATACACACACATACACACACACATACACACACACACAATTGCCCACCAACATGATGCTGATGGTAGCACTGTTTCATCACCACGCACATCCCTAAAACAATGTTTTTGGGCCAACATGTTCAGCACTAATGTTATTGACAGCAGTAACATTCTGAGATATCCTTCCTTCTTCCAACTCCTCCACAGCTCTGACCAAATCTCCACCGATCCAAGATCAAAAGAAGAAACATAATCAACTTTTTCCTAAAAAAGAGAGGTCACACTAATTTGTTTAATTTGCCATTTGTCTGAAATGGTATATGGTCTTTTGTTCATGCAGGGGGTCTCTTCCAACTCTGTAATTCTGTGTTAAATTCTATGTCTATATTAATAAATAGGGGGGCAAGAAGAGAGAGATAGTATGTATATATTTTTTAGAAAGGTTTACTAGAAGCCCAAGTCCTTGCCAATTCAAACTGTATCTTCTATTACAATAATAGTTGTCAAGTCCTTAAGCAATCATTGCTATTATCAACAGCACCCAGCCATAGGCAGATTGGTGATTCAGATCTCTTTAGGCACGCAGCTTCTAACCTTCCTTCTGGCTCTAACAGCTTAAGACGCTTATCTATTTTTTACTTATTTCCAAACACCCTTTATTTGAAATTGCAGAAAATTCAGGCTGGTCCCGGTGTTTACCATCACCTTCCCAACACGAAAGAAAAGTTGGAAATTGAGATAACACTTCAAAATTTACGAAAAATTTATGAAAATTAAAATTAAAAATGTTTATTTAAACCCTCCCCTTCCATTTGTGCCCACCACTACTAAACATAGTTTAATAATTTGTACTTTAAACTGGTGATTGCTGCTACCTTGTATTTAAATCCAAAAAAAAAAAAAAACATTTTCCAGATGCTTAAATCTGCCCTGCTCTGTGTTACATTGTCTATAGGGAAGCCATTCCTGGTTGTATCTGGTTAGATTTATATTTATGACAACCCTGATCATTTATGGTAGAAAAGGGATAATTTGGAAATGTTTGCTCTGCAGCAACACCAGGGGAGATATTTTTTGAAATATTTCAAAAGGAAAAGGCAACAGTACCCTAAATTGGAGGAGAGGCATACCACCTAAAGTAATGCCTTCACTGCAACCCACATGGTTTTCCTGTGCATCCCTGCTACTCTAAACTCTTTGACATGTGTGATATACTTCTCCTTTTAGGACCACTTTTAACAGAAAAATTAGTGGGCATCTTTTACCTGGTGTCACGCAATTCATCTTTTTCTTATCTGGTAAGATGCAATTTGAGACTTCTGTTCTGAATGAAATCAGGGTCAATTAAAGTCAGCCCTTCTGGTACTAGGTTACTTTTGCAATTGGTCAAGATTTGCATCTTATCCCCTCCCTCCGCTCTTTTTATTTTAAAAAGGATGAAAAGGGAAATTGTTAAAAAAAAATCAAAAGCCTATTTTTTCTACTCATCTGTGAAGGTGGAAACTTGCAACAGCAGCTTGTTGCATTTTCAGCCTGTTGAGGCGAGTAACATGGGAGGATGTTGGTAGATTGGGGATTCAAGTCACGCTGTCAAGGCAACAGAATCAAACAAGATACACACACTTACACAAACACATACACCACTTTGCTAATGCCCAATCCCTCAACTGTGGCTCAAGCTGTTCACCATGTTCCCTTTCCTGTAGCATCTCTCAGTGCAAGCTCTTGTAGCCTTCACTTTGAAGACATTTTCTTGGCAAACTGGATATTCAATGTATAGACATATATAGATACATATGTACACAAAAGTACATATGTATACATTACCAAGAGTTTAAGTACTGTTCTTTTACATCAGGTCATTTTGATAGATAGATCAATAGATAGACCTATGAAAATGATTTGATGTGAAAAAAGAGTATTTAAACTCTCCCTTATATATGCATTATATGTGTATACACAACACACATACAAACAAAATCCGCCACTGATCCTGCCTAAAAGAGAATGCAAAAGAAGCCAGCAGCTTTCCTTCAAGACACTTAACTAGACCACTGAATCCCCTCGTTTTTCAGAGTCCGTCTCCTAAACCCGACCAAAAGGTAACTAGAGGGGTTGCTTTCATACAACGGGATAACCGCAACCCACTTTTAACCAGGGGAACGCAAGCTCGACAGTG